ATAATTAAAAAAAACAAACACACGTCAGACATGTCTATTTCAAATTTTATAAAAAAGAAAAAAACTTTGAGATAAATAGGTTTCAAGATATAGAGGTTCCTACACAGTAAACAATAATAGGTTTGATTGAAGATACAGTATTTTAATAGTACAATAGCAAATACAGTACTGTACTGTATAGTACATACATGTATTAGGTATAAATAAAACATTTATGACATGTGTTAATAGAAATATTAACATTAGTTTCTGATGTCTGACTTTCATTGATGTCTGATGTCTGACTTGTCATTAGTTTCTGATGCCTGACTTTCTTCAACCAATAAGATGCAAGAGAAACTCATAGTCAGAGAAAAACTGTGTTAATTACAACTACATACAGTATTACAAGAGGTGTTTCTCAACTACGGTTTATGCTATCAAAATGTAGTCACTGAGCTTTGAATTTGTAATTGGCACTTCAGTCTATAATTTGAGATATAGAGCTTTTGGGAAATAATCAAGATAAACATGGAAAATACTATATATTGGATTTAGGCTGAAAATGCAGGGGGGAAATAATTTTCATGATAAACATGTTTGAGATAGACTGGTTTGACTATACAAATAATCACTGATGTGGCCAAGTATAAAAAAATAAACAAACAGTAATACATTTAGAGTAATTAAATTTTATCTAGATGAATCAGCAAAACTTCATTAAGAATGTAGTATTGAACTTTTTATAAGTAGCAGGAATAAGTTGCATATTACAAATAATTTGGAGTTCTATAATATATTAAGAAATATTTACTTCATAATATTACCATTTTATTAGTTTTTTTTTTTACTTACACCAACATCAGAAATATTAAAAAATAAAAGAAATGACTATCTCTTTAAAGTATAAACAGTTAATGAAAAAACGAACTTAGAATAAAGAATTACAAGATATGAGAACATAGATGTATAAAATTATGACTAAGATACATTATACTATATATTTTTCTCTCTCATATTTTATTATGAAATTTTTACACAAACTATTAAATGAGTAAAATCATAAGGAAAATCTTCAACTATAGAAATTGTATATATTGGTTTTAAAAAAAAGTCTAACTAAACTTAAGATAATATATTAAAAATTATTTTATATAATTATGATAGTGTCATTTAAACAATTATATTTTATAATGTTTAATTAAATTAATCATAAGATTAATATTTACAAAATGATTATTTTTGAATTATTGTTGATGAAATAGAATAAGTTAGAAATAATTGTATATTTAAGAAATATTTCAGATACTGAATTAAATATTGGTCAGTAAGGAATATTTGTATTATACATTTTAGTATTTGTGGTAATAATAATTGACTTTCTAACTAACATTTAAAATTTTAGCAGAATTATTTATTATAAAATATTACTAGAAAAATTTGTTTTCATCATTGCAGTAATTTTTTGAAAGATTTTTCACATTTTGTAAATGAATTTTATAACAGAAAAAAGAAAATATTTCTTTAAAGTATTCCATTTGTATAATTTAAATTAACTCTGTGAATTATATAATTCAAAGATATACTAAAATTTTGACTGATATATTTTTGAAAATTAGAGATGTAATATTCTTTAGTTTTTAAAAAATTCATATTTTGTAAGAGAATCAAAATTTATAACATATAGAATTTAAAGAACAATAGTTGGATATTTATTGATATAACAAAGACAATGCTGGATTAAACAATTGAAAATTTTATTTTTGTAGAATCTCTTTAAGCTTTCTTGAAGTCATCACCAGCTACATAAATTGAACAGTTTTAGCATAGAATGAATCATATCATCACCAAATATTTTGAAAATTCAAATATCAGAATTACTAACGTTTTACTTATCAAATTTTATTGTATATTTGATCAGGATTTCAAGACAAGTAAAGTCATTACTATAAAAATAAAATTTTAGTTATCTTAATTCAGCAGTGTTTTTGTGTTGTTTAATGATAATTTCCAGTTAAGTTATGTATCACTCAAATTTAGTACATAATAATTATATAATTCATTAGGTAATTTATGTATAATTTATAGCAGTGTTTCTCATCCTCTAACGAATTGTCACCCCCTTCAATAAAACCATTACGTAGTATTGCCCCTTCACTTCAAAAAAATTTTTGTTGGGTTTATTAGTTTATTTGATAATTATATACTTTGTATAAAATTAAAACATTTACTCAGTATATGTATTAGATTTTTATATAATTAACAAAATTAAAATTAAGCATAATTCACTGTGAATCCCTGCTGCAAGCTTCAAAATTCCGATGCTGAGGGTCGAGGGTAATTCCAAATTCGTATTGCATTGAATTGACTAATCGCTAGTATAATGTTATTTGTTTAATTATTGTGCGATATAATGAATAAAATATCTAATTATTCTTAATATAATGTTTTACTATATCGTCCAGAAAATTGTTTTTCACCCCCCCCAAAATACAAATTGTTACTAATTGCCCCCAACATGGAAAAACGTCCACATGGGGGCAATATCGCCCTGTTGAGAAACACTGATTTATAGTAACAAACAATACAGTACTCTAATGGAGTTAAAAATTTATAATTGTATATTAGAAATTTTTGACTCCATTAAGGCACTGTTTAATTTCTCTACATCATGGGGTTTTAAATCTCTTAGTTTACAACAAGATTTCAATTCTTATGCTTTTTAAATATTTAGAATTTTGAACATTAAAACTTTAATTAAATAGATTATTTGATAGATCAGTTTTTTTAAAGATCATTAAAACAGTGTCTGGAATACCTTTCAGTATTCAATATTTTTAGTAGTGGATCTTAATTTGAAAATTTGTCTGAATAAAAATTATTTATAATTTTTTTATTTATGTATTAAATGGATTTTTTATTTTCAATTTTTCAAAGCTATCTTTACAGATATTTAAAATTTGATTGTGGAATGATTTTTTTTTTAATTCTTAAGTGTGGATAAGTTATTGAGATATTCAATAATTTTGATTATGTAAATTTAATTCTTTCAAATATCTAAAAGATAATTATCATTATTTCAAATATTTTCAATTTTTATCTCAGAAAATGCACTACAAATATAGTTTCAATTCCAAAAATTTTTTAACTTACATCAGTAAACAACTGCTAAATCAATAAATTGAATGATTTAAAAAAAATAAAGATTCATTCTTTATATCTTGAATGAAAAAATATATATATTGGGTTGTTCGGAAAGTAATTTTGTTTTTTTTTTCATGGGAAAAAAAACAATATTTTTATAATAAATAAATATTTTATTGAATTATATATCAACCATTTTGGTCAAATACCTGTTGTCATCGTTTCTGGTAGTAGCAATGAGTTTACATTCATAAAAGTTTTGATCGTTGCTTACAAAAAACTGATCCAAGTGATTTTTGACATTGTCATTTCAAGCAAATGTCTTAGTTAAAAAAAATTGTATAGACTGGAACAAGAAATAATCTGAATGTGCTCGATCTGGCAAATATGGTTGGTGTGATAGCATGTCCCATCTAACTTATAACAGTTTCTGACCAGTTACCAAACTTGTGTGAAATTTGACATTATCGTGGTAAAACACTACATCTGTTTTGTTGATCAATTCTGGCTGCCTTTTCTGTTTGATATTACTCAATTTGTTTACTTGATGGCAGTACACTTTCGAATCAATTGTTAAATTGTCTGGTAAAAGCTCCAAAAAAAAATATTCTTAAAATCCCACCAAAGAGAGCATCTCTTTAAGAACATGTGGAACCCATATATCAAGCTTTGAAATGAAACCAATTTGTTTCAAGTAATCATAAACAGTTCAACTTGACAAATTTAATCTCTTAGTGATTTCACGTGTTATTATTTGGCAGTTTGCTTCAATCAGTACCTTTATTTTGTTTTCATTGGCTTCAACTGGCAATCCAGAACTTAGTACACATCTTCAATATTGAAATTGCCAGAACGAAATTTTGTAAACCAGTTTTGACACTGTTGTTCGGTCAATACATCTTCTCCATACATGTCACACAATTTTTTTCTCTCTTGAACAGCATTCTTACCTTTTCGGTAATAAAAGAGCAAAATATGCTGAAAATGCTTTGATCTTCCATATTTGATGGGACAGAAAAAATAAACAATTGCACAAAATCAAACAAACTTTTTTACAAATAAGCCTTAAAATGCTAGCTGTCAAAATATATAATGAAAATGGCGGGAAAAATACGACTAATCCGTCTAGTGGTAAAAAGAAAACGAAATTACATTCCGAACAACCCAATATATATTCAGTGAAGAATATAAATTATTTTTGAAACATTGAGATGAAACATTTAACTTTGTAATTTTGCCAGCAGTATTAAAGATATATGTTTATATATCAATTATCTTTGATAATACATATGGTTCATTGATAGCTGAAGTAAATACAGATTTTGTAGAAGAAAATTTTTAATCTTATAAATATTATCAAGTTATTGATTGTATTATAACCAGATTATGCACTCAAATATCATCTTGGTCCTAAATTTTGTTGAATAATGTAGTAAAGTATTATTTGCAGTAGTCTTTATTATAATTTTTTCACTTAAATGTCTACATTAATGAATTTTATAATGGTGTATTTGCTATATTAGTATGTCTGAAGGTAGATTATTTTAGAATTGTGAACATTTTGTTATTAGAATCACAGCAAAATGTTTTACTTTTTAATTTTCTATTTATGTTGGTCTTATGATTGATTTAATAACTTATAATATATTTTTTCTGATGATGATGATATTATTATTTAATTAGCTTATGATAAGTTTGCAAAGATTGTTAGATTTAGAAATTTTATATATACATATATATATATGATTTTAATATGGGATAGTTATTGAGATATCTACATTGAAAATGTAGGAAAATAAAAAAATTAATTATATTTAAATTTAAATTATAAAAAAATTTTATTTAAATATATACTAATTCTTTTATTTCCCTGAAAGTAGCAAATTTTTCCAACAGGATTTTGGTTTAAATGATGGGAAAGTAAAAGAGAATAACGAAAGAACAGAAGAAAATATGGTTCCAGTAGAAGAAAAATATAAAAAAAGTCAAAGCCATAGTCGTAGCAGTAGTGCATCAAGTGATTCTTCGGTTAAAAGCAGAAGAAGCAGAAGCAAAAGTAAAGAAATAAATCAACATGATGATACAGAAACAAATGCTGAAAAATATAAAGAAGTAAAAACAAATCATACAAAATCAGAATCCACAGATAAAAAATCCAGTAGATCCTATAGAAGTGAGAAGAGTTCTAAAGATCAGAGGAGGCGAAGTAGAAGTAGTGAAAGAAATTCAAGAGGAAGTAGAAGTTATGGTCATAGAAGTCCTAGAAGATGGAGACGATCTCGTAGCAGAAGCAGAGATCGCAGAAGTAGAAGTAGAGACAGGAGGAGTAGGAGTAGAAGCAGAGATAGAAGAGAAAGGAGGAGCAGAAGTAGAGAAAGAAGAGACAGAAGAAGTAGGAGTAGAAGTAGAGATAGACGAGAAAGAAGAAGCAGGAGCAGAAGTAGAGATAGATACAGGAGAAGCTCCAGATATGACCGTCATCGAAGTAGAAGTCGCAGTAGAGGTAGACCTCGTGATTTTAAGGAAAAGGCTTTATCGAATTTGAGAGCAGTCTTAGAGAAAACAGTGAAATTGGATGGAGAAGGATTAACTGTAGGTAAGTTATGTTGAAGAATGTATAATTAAAATTCTATTATTTTCTGTTTGTATTAATTAAATATCAACAATTATGAAACACCTTATTACCAGAAACAATTATTTATGTATTAAATTTTACTATGAACAAGTACTTTCAGTCTAATTTAGACCAACTGCAGGTTCTTTGTCTTTCAAATATAATACAGAATATAGTTCTGAAGGAGTTATCCCTCTTCTTCATTACTATATTCAGTGTTTCACTATTTATTTTTGTTGCTTGGTGTTGTTAATATGTTTCAAGAATGTTATTTAAGTTACTTAAGTCATCAAGTCATCCACTTATTATACTTTTAAATTAGTTAGTACATTTCATATTTTAAATTATATTCCTTACACTGAAATTTCTGTTCCATGGTGAAATGAATTCTGTATTATATTTGAAAGATAGAGAATCTAAAGATGGTATAAATTAGACTGAAGTTACAGGTGTTCCCCACCTTACGAATGTTCAATTTATGAGCTTTCAGACTTGCTAACAATTTGAATGTGTATGTCTAGAATTTAATTCTGCAAATTCTGAAGTTTTTCTGCTTGTGAGGTGGCATTGAAGTTAGTCTTCAGCAAGTAATAAATAATACATTTTTAATAATTAATTAGGTTTATTTCTATTCCATATCATCATTTTTTGTTTCATTGGCATTCGTGAGGTGGCATTGAAGTTGGTAATGTTGGAGTAACAGCATTTTTTGTTATTTGAAATTTTTATAATTTTTACAATTAATGCTTCAAAAATGTGTCCAAAATGTAATAGTAAATCTAGCAATGGAGATAAATACAAGAAATGTCATTCTGTTACCATGGAACTTAAACCAGACATTACAAAACTAAGTTTGTTGGGTGGAAAAAACCCACATTTGACACAACCACTACTAAACAGTAGCAAGTGGGTAAATGAGAATAATGTATTCAATTAAGTACATTGAATAATCAAACACTAACAATAAATGGCTATTCTGTATTTAAATGTACTTTATAGGTTAATTTTCAAATTAGGACATAATCTGGAATACCTAACTTGTTCATAAATAGGGAAGCACCTATACTTGTTTGTGGTAAAATTGTTGCTGGTAATGAGATGTTTGATATTTATTTAGTAACTCAAATCAATAGATTAGTTAAATAAATAATTATGCATAATTTAAATTTTTTGAAAATTATTTATATATTTATTTAAAAGTGAATTTAAACTATCTTCTTACCGAATTACTGGAACAAGTCACACACAATCAAGAACCTTTAAACTCCAGTAACACAAATTTTAATGAAAAATGAATGTTTTCAACCTTACCCAAGGTCTTCTTCAGGTTTTTAAACAACAAAATTTCAAAATAGAATGCACAAAACAAACATATTTGAAAATTATTTTTTAAATTTGGAACAACAACAAACATATATAAAGTCATCATTCAAATTGTTTTATATATGTTTAGTGCTGTTCCAAATTTTTAAAAATAATTTTCAAATATGTTTTTTCTGCACATTCTATTTTGGAGTTTTGTTGGTTAAAACCTGTAGCATATCTTGGGTAAGGTCAAAAACATTCATTTTCATTAAAATTTCTGTTACTGGAATTTAAAAGTGAATTTACTGATAAAAACAATTACCATCAATGACTCTGCTCTAATTTTTTTTAAATACCAGTTTTATTTAAGTTATTGCTTTAAAGATAATTTTTTTTTATTTACGTATACATACCATTTTTTTAATAAAGAAAACAAGTCCAGAATTTCTGTCTGTGAGTATACCTTGGGAGTGTGGGGGGAAATCCTAATGGCTGTTAAATTTAATTTTACATCAGTAGTATTTCAACTTAAAAGAAGTTTATGTTTAGATGATTCAAAATTTTCTAGATTCAAGTTTATAAAAGCTGCTAATTCTAATTTTAATTTTATGAACTTTATAGTATTTTGTGTGTTTCTGAAAATTGACTTAAATTTATTTAAATTAATTTTTCTTTTCTGTTGAATATTTATGTATGTATTACTAAAATAAGTGCCATAGTCCTTTAAATTGACCAAAAAGAATAAAATCTGTAATCCATAATAAAGGATATACTGTATTATAATAAATTATTCTAAACTTCTTAAATGTGATTTCAAATATTTAAATTTTTTGAACATCATTTGTTTAAGTAAAAAATTGTGACATTTTAACATTATTTATAAATTAATTTTTTTAATGAAAATATAGTTAAAAGACCAGGCTAAATATCCCGTTATTTAATTTTTTCATAATTTTTTATTTCACCTACAGTAGTTATTGTCATTCAGGAATTGACACTTTTGTGGAGTTTAAATTATTCTAAATTTTATTTAATTAATACAATGTGGAAAAATTTTTGTGTGCAGTTTATCAATTTGCAAATTTTCTGTTTAGGGAACATTTCACTTTAATTGAAGCTGACACAAAATTTCACCCATTAAATAGTGTCAAAAAGATTAAATCAATATTATGACCATACAAATAAATTTGGGTCTATGCAGAATTATCCTTTTTAATTGTCCAACAAGAGACAGATGGTAACAACTTTAAACCGACAAATGACATTAAAAAATACACACAATACAATTGACGCCGACTTTTTCTTAGAGGATCCGATGCCAAGAACACAGTATTAAAATTCTTCACAATATCACTTAGGTAAAAAACAGTTGTATTTATATCCATCTGCTGACCTCTGGTGGAACTCTGGAACAGCTTCATTATTTGCATATGTACATTAGTAACGAAGTTCCAAGGATTAATTTTGTTGATTAAATCAATATTATGACCATACAATTCGTATTCGGTCGGCGTCAATTGTATTGTGTGTATTTTTTAATGTCATTTGTCGGTTTTAAGTTGTTACCATCTGTCTCTTGTTGGACAATTAAAAAGGATAATTCTGCATAGACCCAAATTTATTTGTATGGTCATAATATTGATTTAATCAACAAAATTAATCCTTGGAACTTCGTTACTAATGTACATATGCAAATAATGAAGCTGTTCCAGAGTTCCACCAGAGGTCAGCAGATGGATATAAATACAACTGTTTTTTACCTAAGTGATATTGTGAAGAATTTTAATACTGTGTTCTTGGCGTCGGATCCTCTAAGAAAAGGTCGGCGTCAATTGTATTGTGTGTATTTTTTAATGTCATTTGTCGGTTTTAAGTTGTTACCATCTGTCTCTTGTTGGACAATTAAAAAGGATAATTCTGCATAGACCCAAATTTATTTGTATGGTCATAATATTGATTTAATCAACAAAATTAATCCTTGGAACTTCGTTACTAATGTACATATGCAAATAATGAAGCTGTTCCAGAGTTCCACCAGAGGTCAGCAGATGGATATAAATACAACTGTTTTTTACCTAAGTGATATTGTGAAGAATTTTAATACTGTGTTCTTGGCGTCGGATCCTCTAAGAAAAGGTCGGCGTCAATTGTATTGTGTGTATTTTTTAATGTCATTTGTCGGTTTAAAGTTGTTACCATCTGTCTCTTGTTGGACAATTAAAAAGGATAATTCTGCATAGACCCAAATTTATTTGTATGGTCATAATATTGATTTAATCAACAAAATTAATACTTGGAACTTCGTTACTAGTGTCAAAAAGAGTTTTGAAATAAAAATGGATTTCTTTTTAGTTCTTTTTAAAGCTCTGTTTTGGTTTCAATTATTGCCAGATAAAAAAAATCAAAACCATGTTCCATAAAGGCATGTTTACATGAGTTGATTCAAATAAAACAATTGTTGAATCGAAGGTAAATTAATAGTAAATTTAATGTGTAAACCAGTTTTTAACTTGGTCAATCGGTGGACTGATTCAGTTGGATCAAAGTAGAATCTGTTTCTGTTTTGATCAGATTGAATAAGCCTCATTGAATGATTTGAGTCAAAATGAAACCCTTTCAGTTTGAACTGACCCGTGTAAACCTGTTTTAACTTGGCTCTTTCTTACTGCTGTTGTAGCACATAACTGTGTAATTGGACAGCAATGTGAGAAGTGATCAGAAACAAAGTAAACAGTGTTTTAATTTCACTATTAAAACATGGAATCTCTGCATTTTGGCAGATTTTCCCAGTTAATATCTTCAGGCTTAGCTGAAATGCTACTCCACTTTTTGTGGCAATTGCCGTAATGTTATATTTTCTATCTCAAATTTTTCTGAGACTACTATAATTTCTTCCAAACCTTGTTTGCTCAATTGGATATATTCTGCACTCCTAATCTTATGCATCGATATATTAAGCAAAAGTTTGTTGTCATGTATGGCAAGTGCACAAGCAACCAAGCTATTGAATTTCCTCCCATGGTCTAGTGCAGGGCTGCCCAATTCATTTTGGAGGTGGGCTATAATTTCAATTACATGTCAGCTGGCGGGCCACTTAGTGAATCATACTTGCTTACATTCATGATTCTTCTATAAATGGATAAGTATTTGAATCAAACCAAGCTTTAAGTTGCACATGTTTTAATAATACCTAATAAAAATACATCAGAGAGACGTATGAAGGGGCTTATTAGCTAATAATTTTTCAATATTTGGTGACAAATCTGACGTTGATAATAATATCAAATTTGAAATATGAGACGCAGTTAAAGAACTGCGGTATTTATTTTTTACATAGTGTAGAGTAGAAAAAACTTTTTCACAAATATATGTGGAGCCAAATCTGTTTAAAACAAGATCACACATTGCAGGGAAGTCTTTCCTAACCTAATCTAAATTTATGTATATGTAACTATTCAAACAACAATCTGAAGAAGCACCCAACAATTTCATTTTAATACACAAAAGTTGACTCAAAACTAATAGAACAAGTGTAATAAATGCGTGGGTTAGGTATTAACAGCAGTGTGGTGGTGACTCAAGTCATAGTTTATTCCTCATTGACCAAATCGACCAATCATGTGGTGGTTGGCATTATTGGTAGCACGACATTGCGCATGATGACAGCCAACTGCTAC